TGCAAGGAACAAAGATGACTTGACTGGGGATGAAGTTCGATTGAAATGGGGCTGAGGACGTGTCTCCGTAGTCAATGTTTTAATGGGGGACAGCAAGGCTGCTGCTGATTTTGCAAGTGAATTAGAGTCTGGGAGTTTCTTTAATGCTGGTTCTGGCAAAACATTGACTACAGAGTATACTGGCACTGTTATTACCGATGAAGTTACAGATGAGGTAGTTGCAGATATTGACGACCCAAGGGATGCATAGAGTGCACTTGCGGAAGGAGTTCTGAGAGACTGAAAAGCTGATGGTGCTGAAGAAACATATGACCTGAGTGGGGAAAATGGCATTGCTGTCGTAGAAAACACTTTCTCAACTGTTTCTGTGGCGGCATTAACCACAGCGCTTACAGAGTTTGTAGCTGTAGAAATTTTTTCCTGTAACGTGGCAGTGGCTTTGCATCCATTAATTAAAGTTGAAGATGACGGATATTTCAGAGGGGAAATAGATCCATTGACTAATGCTACCTCTGCATGTCCAGGCATCTGCTTCACAGGCGATGAGAGAGAAGAGGCCATCGTAACTTTCGCCGATGAAATGATATCAACTGCTGATTTAGCTGGAGACACCACTGACTTTAAAGGCGAAGATATTAGCGGCGCTGCTGATGTAATAATTGACTTAAATGGCAAACTTGAGGAATACATATTAATGTTTGACTTGGGGGAGGCCGGGGGTGTCATAGTAATTGATGACCTCTCCAAAAGAGACCCTGCTGTAGTCACTGGGGAGGTTCGGGAGGAAAACATAGAACTGGATGGCAGCCCCTTTAAAGGCGAGGCCTCCGTGACTGTGGGTGCTCTAACCAGGGTACCAGAAGACACTTGGATATTGTATGGAGATTGTGACACCACTGTTTTTATTGGCGAAGAAATTGTCCGAAAGGATCTAATTGGAGATGCCACATCACTAATGGATTTAACCGAAGATGTAGTTGACGCGCCTAACGTGGATTTGATTGGAGAAGGAGTCGAAACGGACCAAATTGATTTTAACGGAGAAGCTGATGGCGTATTTGAGGAAGAACTTGATAAGGAAGTTAAGCCTGACTTGGCTGGCCCGGGCACTGTGATCGGAGCTGTGGTCCAGGACTGGTATGGTCTTGTAGAAAAGAATGGCTTGTATGAGTAAGAAGTGGGGAGGGATCTTGTTGCTCCTGCACTCCGTTCAACTGTTTCTTAAATTTTAAAATGAAATCAAACACAAAAATCAACAAAAATGGTTGAGAAACAGAGAGACCAGAGAAAAAAATTGGTCAGTAAACTTTGAAATATTACAAAAGCAAGTACAATTGTTTGCATGATTTAGAATGGAAGAGGCAAAAGGAACAATTAAGCAAAAGAGGGAAAAAATTCCTACAGACATAACTAATCCAAAGTAAAAAAACACACAAAACACTAAATAAATAAAAAACAGAGCAATGTGAAATGAAAGACAGAAAAAGCACGTCGCAACCAAATAGGCCAACAATGAAAATTAGGAAACACGAGGAAAGAATTAATGATGAAAAATAACCACAATGGAAAACTGTTCCCTTACTTCCTATTGACTTTCTTATGTGCTGGTTTTGAAATATCAGTAGCCATTCTGTTTTGCCTGTATAGGTTAATGTTTGTTTTGTGCAACCATAAAACTCTCATTTTAGTAATTTCTAATGTTTCCTCGCCTTGAACCATATCAATGTGTGTAGCTGTATGTCAAATATCTAAAAGTCTTTTTTTAGAAAACCACTCAAGCCTATTTCATGCAGAATCCAAAATAACTTTTAAGTGACAGGCAACTGATGTGCAAACTGTGAAGCCACTGGATTTTAAATCTGCATCTTCCATGCACAATTCGGTTACGCTTCACACCCATAAAAAGCCAATAAGAGCAAGAAATTCTCTGAGTCAGAATTTTTAAAGAAAAACAAAACAAAGAAAAGGAATGTTTGCATTTATCTTTTCCATGCAGTATATTCCTTTTGGTGAGGAAAAAAAAAAGGTGATATGAAATGGTTTTAAGATGCATGTGTACACACACACACATAAAAGGGAGAAGAAAAAAAACCAAAATATGGTTCATGGTTACCATAAAGCAAGCAAAGCAACAAAACATTTTATCATGCGCAATATATCATGGCAAACAAGCCAATGAAGTAATACAATTTTTATGCCATAGTATGCACAATATATAAACTTTAAAAATACTTTCACAAGAGCATTGAGAAAGAAGAGTACACTTTTTCCATGAGATGTGAAGTCTTGGTACCTTTTGAGATTTTAGGAAAATATTTAATACTGCATAGTAAAAATACATCTGCAACTAAACATATCCATGTTTGGTGTTGTCGTCATTATGGATTAAAGCACACATTTTATCTCATGTTTTTTCATAATATGTCATACTTTTAATTCTCAAAAGGTATCATGGGGAAAATCTAAAAAAGCACATTCATATTTTTAACACCCCATATTTAACTATCTACAGTGGAATACAGTATTTTTTTGTATATGGATGTCAATGACAAAGATCCCTTCCCAGAATATTCATGGGACTCATGGATACTCCAAACACTGGAGCAGCCATGAGGCAGACCTACCACTAGCAAAGATGGATTTACTACCAGCATTCTGCTGGCAATGGGACAAGAAACACACAAATGAGGTAAGCACACTCGCCGGGGGAGAGCAAACACACACTTAGTCCTCTCTACTTCTACAATTCTAACAAACTGAGCTGGTCACAGAGATTAGGAATGCCTGCCAAGGGTAATGTGTATGTCAGAGTGACTGCACTGGTTCAGAACAAGAGTGAACCGCGAAGAGGAAATGAGAATCTGCTTCATCTTTATGCTCCCTCTTCAGGCTATGCTCCTGCCATTGCTATAATCCAGTCCTTGGATCAGCAGCTACTCCCACAAGGGTGAAGGTTTTCATTCCTAGTGTACATTTAAATTCAAACATTCAGAACATATTCTTTTCTAGACTGGCATATTATTCTAAGGAAAAGTGGAAGAACTAAGGAAAAACTCACCTACTCATTACTTCTCCTAGCCATAATTCTCAATATAATATTGATTAACTCTGTTAGAAATACCACACTACAAATGAAGGGTTTGGGGATTCCTTCAATTCAGTGATCAGGGCTCAGTCCAATGCCATGGCTCAAGAGAATTTATCTTTGTAACTACCCAAAACTGGTGAAGCACCTCTCCTTTACCACTGAAGGCTGGCTCATCAAACAAAGAAGTCTTCTGAAAAACCTCTATGGTTTCATTCCTCGCACAAGCAGCCAACTTACTGTTCAATTACATGTTGTGCTTTAATGACACATATTTTGTGGTTCCCTTTATAACAAAGGCAATTTCTGGAGGTCAGGCACTGAATTACACCAGAATTTTTTTTTGTGGGGGTGGGGAGGGGGGATTTACAGTTAGAAAGGACAGGTAGTGAGAGAAAAGCCTGCATTCACCTGGAGTTCTAACACCAATTCAGGGCCATGACTTTTCCTTAGCTCCTTAAAACTCCTTTCCATTCCTCTGTTCACCACCATTCTGCTCTCTTTCATAAAAGAAAAACATCCTTGTTCTTCAATCAAAACTCAAGGAAGATAACCTACATACACCTTAATTGACACTAACCAAAGAGTAGCAATACTTTCATAAATTGGAAAAATTAAATTCACTTAGCATATGCCTGACCTTACAACTCATATTTGCCACAACCAATACCTTAGGGACCAGAATCAGATGTGAGCTGGCCTGCCCAGAGTACTTCTGTCCTAAAGTAGCTGGTCCATGGAGCTTAAGGCTATGGCCTGGGAGTCCCAACCAGCTACGCAGTGAGGGTCTTAGCAGCGGGGTGGGGGTGGGGGGGTGTGTCGGCAAAACAGTATTCCAACAAAGACGTCCACCCAGGAGATTTAGTTACTGAAAAAATCATCTAGTTACATACACATCTTTGCTGCATTGTAGCACAATGGGAGTTCATTTCAGAGAAGGTGGGAAAAACCGAAGTTGTGGCTCTCACTGACAAATTTTCAGTCTTTCCTAAACTCAAGTCATGTGAGTTGAGAAACAGCTAGAAATTATTCACTAATTTGGAAATATTTTTTTTGTATAAATCTTTCTCTAATGTTTAAAGTGGCACCACTACATCAATCAAACACAGTGCAGTTCTCACACCCTTAGTTCCTATTGGTGGAGGGGTTATATTAAGGGCTGCAGTGATCAACACAGGTGATAACCATGTGGATGAGGGGAGGGGAGGCAAAGAGAGAGGGAGAAAATGAATATGATTGAATGAATCTATACCTTGATACTTTTAAACCAGTTAACAATGAACCAAAACAGTCACTGAGAAGAGTCTAACCAGTCTAGTGAAGACCAGCCTTTAGAACATAATAAAGGACTGGGGAGGGAGAAAGACAGAGAAGGGGGGAAAAGAAAGACAGTAAACACATGCTACCTCAAGAAGGTAGGAAAATACCATTCTTTCAAAGTGGGCAGAAAAAGAGGCAGGACTAAGACATAATGACCTATGTAGATAAAGAAAAATGAGATGACAACTAAAGTTACTTTCTCATCTTTTTCTACCATCCCACATACATTAAATATTTTCTCTTTTGAGCATAGATTTAAAACAGCATCGGTTCAACATGATCTCCTAGCATAGTTAACAAAGTGAAACCATGGTTTTTTAAGATAGGTGTTTTAAGTAATAAAAATGGTTAATGGCTTTTAAAAACCTGTTTTGAAGCTATGACCTAGGGGTGTTTATGCCTCATATCTTCAACTGTGTACAATATATTCCTTAGATCTCATGGTGTTACTTAGATTTTCATGGTAAAGTTTTCTTGCAGGCAATTTTTCTTTTGCCATTGGGTTTTCAAATGACCCCCAAATTCTGACTGTATAGAAAAAATGTCTCTTCTTATAAAAATCTGCATAAATTAATAAATGTGTTAGAAAACTCACTCATTCCAGGCTCAGTCAAGTAGCTGTAGCGCTTACGTAAAGCTAAAGACGCAAAGCTCTGTCGTTTATCTGCTTTCTCGGCCTGAAAAGGAAAAACAAAGACTGTGTCCAACATTTTTGTGACGTTTCATGGTTTAGAAACATTTTGTAGGATGTTATGTTGATATCTTGTTTATCCTTATTTTTTCTTCATATGGAATCTCCTCATTAAAATGTGATTCTAAAAACCCACTCAATGTCTCAAACAAATAGCCATCATTTAGCAAATATATGAGCACCAACACAGCAGACTACAGGGAACTACAGATAAAAGACGAGAGTTACAGAGACTTCTGATGCTGAACAGTAAATTTTCCCCAATTAAATAGGCCTTAAAACACATATATCACAATGTGAGTACATTCCAGGAAAAAAGGCACACAAAAGTTTCTTATTCTGATTACTGCTGTTGTTTCAGTGTGTTAACAGGCAGAAAGTATTGATGAGAAGATTAAAAACAGGTTAATGGTTTCATTAGGAATGTTACTGAGTCTTAAGGTTGCTGATTCTATAATTATGGAGGTGTGAGTTTTAAAAATCCAATTATCATCTAACTTGGAGAAATATTAGGAGATAACTTGAATAACTATATCCTTAAAAATGGCTCTTTTAGTAGAATATAAAATATTTATCAATAGACATTGAGCATATATTTTATATTATGTAAAACATAGGTTGATTCATATAATAAAATTTCATATATTACCCATGATCTTGATTTAAAAGTTATAACACAGTTGATACTAGGTGAAAATGTAGATTTTGATACATGCCAATTACATTTAAAAATGTTTAAAGGACTTGAGTTCAACTTTTTAAATTATTATTTGGATTATGATTTTACTGAATATACTCTTATGCATATGTGGATGAAGAATGAACTATTCTTTAAGAAAAATATATACCCTTTACTCACTTAAGCTAAAAAAAAAAACAATACGTTTCCCATACTTTGGCCTGCTGCAACTTCTTTTGTACAGATTCAATTTCTATTCTATCTCTGATAGAGTAAAAGCAGAAGTGTTCATATTACCTCATCATCTTGATCTGACTCTGTCTCCTTTTCGTTCCAAGATGCATTGCAGAGACAAGGAATATTATAATGGACAGCAGAAAAGAATATCAGGATATGAAAAGGACTCAGTAGGAGCACAAAATGCAAGCTGATTTAGAAGGCAAATTAAAAGAAGCCAACAAAATGTATCAAGAACAGTCTACCCATGGCAAATTAATGTGTGATGCCCTTTAATCATAAAAATCTATGAACTACCAGCAGAAGCAGAAGCAATAAACAGAGGACTCCATCATACAAACCATAAGAATCTGACACCACAGTAACGAGACTTAGTCTACACAGAGACCAATAGAACTTGAGTTCCAAGAGCTTTAATCATGTTACATAGCATTCCTTAATCGCATACCAATGGCCCACTTCTTCAAGACCAGGGAAAGAAAGTGAAAATAAACCAATACCAAAAGATACCTTTTTATGTGCTGGCAGAGTGATGTTTAAGTTGCAGACAGCTGTCTGAGGCAGTCCTTTTGTTGTCTTTGGTTCTTTCAGAAAAGACAGGCGACCACAGGGCTCTTGGCTGGTGTCTCTAATCTAGAAGAATTTAAGAAGTTATGTAGCTGACAGTTGTAGAAATAGACTTTTCTAAGGAATCCTGTCTTTATAAGAGCCAAGCATGTTTATTTTATGGAGACCTTCAAGAGGCAGGAAAATAAAGAGAAAAGATGATAACAATTACATGGCCACTGAGGTGGTCACATTTAAACTCAGCAAGATTTAGGAATGTCCTGTTCCAAGTCTAAACAGAGGATTGTTGTGTCTGGGTTCCATGCATTTTCTTCCTGTCTCATAATTTCTTTTTCCCAAATCCTCAGTCTTAGCAACACGAATAACAGCAAATAATAATGACAGTAAAATCATCGTCCTGTATCCTTCTGTTCTCTGGGGAAAAAGCTTCTCCAAGAAGGTCAGAAATGAAGGTGAAGCTTGAGTTCTGACTTCCACTTTCACCCATGATGTGATTACTGAGCAATAACTAGTTAGGAGGCATTTTATGATACTAGAGTGTTTGGTCTCACAAACATTTGCTTGACTATTTAGCTGTTGGAAAGGGAAGGACTTTTAAAACTAATTATAAAGCTTTCCTATCTGGAAAGTACACTTAGGTAGAACCAAGACAAAATCTGACCTTGTTCCTATGACTTCAAGTTTGGTGGAATATTTCAAACAGAATAAGTGATTAGGACATTCACAGAATCGCTGCTGATGAGGACTTACCTTGATGGAAAATGGCAGTCTATTTTCTTTGAAAGCATAAAAGTTAAACACAAGTTGCTGTCCTCCTTTGGTCAGTGGAGCCAGATTTCCATAACAATCAACATAAATAGGTTTCCCTTCCAGAACCTTTTAGAGTAAAAGAAATACATAATTTAATAGTAACTTTAATTAAAAGAATTTTGAGATTTTAAGTCACATTAACATTAACTGAATGACATGTTTCTATGTCACATTTGTCTCCTTATTAGGGCATTACTTCTATAGTCCTATTTGCCACAAAATTAACTGTTTGGGCTCACAATTCAATAATTGTGACTGGAAACTGTATTATGGACTCGTATAAGACAAAATCATATATTTCTATTCTAGCAACTTTAAACACGTTTTAGAAAGTATCTGACATCAATCAGATAGTATTGTTCAGATAGTATTTGAAAACTTGTTCCAGTTTTTTTACTCTTATCTGATATCTGGGTTTGAAAAAGCAAAATCATGGTATTGTGTATAGACAGTGACCATAAAAATAAGATAATTCAAGTAGCTACAGGAAAATGGAAACCATGACTCAGATTCATTAGTGCTATTTTTTTAACCAACTAAGAGAACCTTGACAACATTTAAAATAATTTGAGAATGAATCTATGTTGTATTTTTAAAACAAAAGCTAGAATCAATAATATACTTGATATTTATAGTGAGCACTATTATGGTCTCAAAATAAAACTTCGTGTCTGGGGGATATAATTGAATGAACTTGTTCTGAACAAGGTACCTCAATATCTTTGCTTCTTGCAACTTCCTCAAAATTCTCTTGCTGCTCTAAAGTTTTGTCCACTTTGTCATCTGTCATGCAGAAACACCGCAGGGAGGATTCTACAGGATCATTCATTTTGGCAAAAACAACAAACTTGGCCATATATGGAACACATATTAATTCTCTGTACAGTTGCGTGGCTAACCCCACAGTTTCTAAAACTTGATGGCAGTCTGCAAGCCAAAATCTGATAAAAACAAAGACAAACCAAAACAGAACAAAATGTAAGTATGGAAATGAAGTGACTTAAATGCCAAATCTTAAAAAAAATTCACCATTAAATAAATCAGAGTATAAAGGGAACTAAATTAAAACATTGACTTGTTCATCTAAACAAATGGCAGGATGTTTGCTGCTTATCAAACAGAGAAAATGCTAAGATTCTCGTTCTCTTTCTTTCCCATAAAATTCTTGTTTCCCTCTAACACATACCCATATATGGTAAGACTGCCTTTCTACTCCTGTTTTAAGAGTTTTTAATCTATAACTTTACAATTGGAAGGAGCATGAATTTTATGAGAGAAAACTATCAGTATTTATAAATTAAAGTTGCTAAAAAATTTTACTAGAAGAATCCAGTCTAGTACCTTATAGCTTCCTACGAAAACTGGGCTAAATGACTTATCACAGTGAATTTTAAATTTCTAAGTTAGATCCAACTTAACTATCATAACTGTAAAAAATAACCACACTGGCATTGAGCACAACAATTTTTATTTTCCAAAAGCTAATAAAACTAATTCCTTATTGCTTTTTGGAATCCTTTATTTCCATACCTGGCTGAAACATTGGTTGTAAAAGAGACACAATCCTTTATAAATGTCAAAGGAGTAGTTCCTGTGATGTCTTCCCACTGAGCCGGTGAGGTGCCCCCTAAGAGAACAGCAGCAGATATGGCAACTTTATTAACAGACATGCTCCTTCTAATATTTGCATCATTATCCTGTTCTTCACAGTTTGCCAGTAGCTTGCAAAACTTCAACACTTTCAATTAATGACATGTACTAAAGGTTTTATTCTCGACTCTCCTTTTATCCATTTACAGGCTTATTGTGACTTCCTTGTAAGATATTATTCAGTTTTTTAAAAATTACTTTTCTGTTTGGGTATTAAAGAATGGCTTGAAATTGGGATAACCAATCTATAAGTGGATTTTACAAGTGTACTTTATAAGTGACAAGATTTATTGTTTCAGATAGACAATCTATTATTTTTTTTAATGTTTAAGAAGGCAGTAACCATCAAGAAAGTTAAGAAGCAGTTTATTTGTACTAGCTGAATCCTATAATTTACCAGGGACTAAGGGTGAATCAGCCATTAAAATTATTCTTAAAAACAAAAAAACCCAGTCTATCTTAATCTTGTTTTTTTCAGTTAAAAATCACATTAGGTTGATGAAATGAGGAATTGAGCTCTGGATTCCAGGTGCTTCTCATGTACTCCCAAAGTCCTTCAGTTTCCTGCAGTCTAAAGGGTGTTGCTAGGTCCACCACCTCTGTCTAGGTCACCGACAGATCACCTAGATGCCCCAGCAGATGCAATAATATCTCAGTCACCTTAAGAGGGCGCTATTGTTAATATGAAATTTAGTAGGAAAAATGTTAATTTTAAATGCTATCCACATCTTAAAGAAATTATTGGAGGGATAATAGAAATGAGGTGATGGACAAGTAAAAATGTTTTATTCTTTTTTTTTCTCTTATAACGTTGGCATGGACATTTCAAAGGCTTTGTTTTCTTACAGAATCACTACAAATGCTAGCATCAACAGCAAGTACAGCAACAACATAACCAAACCTGTAATGCTACAGAGAAGGCGCAGATTGGGTGTGGCGTCCCCCTTGTACCCGTTGGATACGCCTTCTCCCGAGGGCGGGGGCACCGGGATGGTCATTGTGATCGGTTTATGGAATTTCCTTCTTCTTGGTTCCACAGTGACAATTGGGCTAAACGTTGCTTTGTTTCCAAGGATCTTTTTCACAATTTCATCTGGAACAGGCTGAGCCTAGAGTCAAAAAAAGAACCTTAAGTGAAAGTGGCCATTTTTTTAAAATCTCATTAAAAAGTTGACTTTTTAAGTGAAGAGGAAATAACCAAAAACACACAAGCAATAAATGTTTTTTTCTTCATGCATTCGCATTATTTCAAGAAGGCGTAAAACAACAACAAACAAACAAAACAAACCCCAAATAACCCAACACTGTAGCAGGAACCCGTCAGCCCAAATGTTGCCCCAACGTAACAGGCAGCATGGGCTTGTGTGACAGAGAGGGAATCCAGTCTCACAGCAGAGAAGCATCCTAGTCTAATCTAAACTAACAGACAACAAATACCGTGTCCAATATATTTAAAACCTATGTGGGACATTCAGTAAAACATGACAAAGGCAATTTTGCGCCCATGTAAAAATTGAGGTTTTTCAGAATGGTAACAAAAAGGAAAAAAATCATGATTGCAAAGGATTTCAGATCTATTCTTCCAAACTGAAATTCTTCCTTTTGGTCTCTTTGCTACTGAATATTTATATGGGAGAGAGCTGAAGGGCACCTCATGCCAGTGGAATGTAAGGTGGTCTCTTTAGTGAGGTGTTTACTGAAGGCCTTCCCAGGACTTAGAGTGCTCAGCTCTAAAAACCCAACTCCTTGGGCATGAGAGGCAACTGCCAGTTAAATATTTTAAATACTCTATTAATTAACAACACAAATTAAGTTATTTCAGGCTATTTTCCTTAGTAAGAAAAAAAAAAAAATACCGGTTAAGTACTGGTTCGGCCTAACTGAAATACGTGAAAGACCTCCGTTGCCAAGATTTCCAGTCAGTTTTCCAAACCCAAACAAGTTCCAACTGGTTTGGATAAAGCCCTGCATTTACGATTTTACTTAAACCAAAATTTGAAAGCTTGCAAGTTTCACTACTGCTGGTTTTTATGATGTGGCATGTCATAAACCAAGTCAAATATGGGTTGTTTCTTTAATGGTCCATGGACCCTTTGGTGCTTCTGTTGCTCCACATACTGAGACCAATAACCTATGGTTTAAAAAAAAGCGATTTCTCATAAGAAACGAGGTGATACTTTTATATGGAAAGACCCTAAAATATGTAACTTATTTCATAAGCCACTAAGCTAATTTTTAATTAATGCTTTTCATTTGAAATGGGTTAATGATTCTCCCAAATGGCCTCATGCTTCCATCAGCAATATGAGCGGGAATCCACTGAGAGTTATGACAGTTGTTCCCAGAGTGGCACATGCTCCCCACCCTCCGTATCAGTGGTTCTCAACCTTCTGGCCCTTTAAATATAGTTCCTCATGTTGTGACCCAACCATAAAATTATTTTCGTTGCTACTTCATAACTGTAATGTTGCTACTGTTATGAATCGTAACGTAAATATCTGATCTGCAGGATGGCCTTAGGCGACCCCTGTGAAAGGGTCATTCGACCACCAAAGGGGTCGGGCCCACAGGTTGAGAACCGCTGCTCTGTATGATCCCAGGAAGAGAACCTTGTGTGAACATTACCTGGAGGCCCACTCGGATTCTTTTGGTCAAAGCGCCCTCAGGGAAAGAAGCCTGGACCAGCGGCACAGTGGTGCTGCTCAGAATTCCACCTTCAGGACCAATCTGGTTGCTTTCCTGCTTAATCCGTGAAACTACTGCAAAATACTGGGGGAAATCCTTCGTGATAATCCTGCAGATCCGCTTTTTCCCTAACTCTTCTGGACTATCAAGTTCTGAAAAGACAAATGAATGAAGAAAGCCATGAGAATAAGCCTGCTTCCACAATACCTTGAGGCAAACGGATGTGCAATTTTGATAGTTAAAATTACTTATATTCAGTAATCTAAATAGAGGGTTTTTTAATGATAAAGAGAAAACTACAGTTATCCTCAAATTATAACAAGCTTTGCAAAACTATTATAAAAATAATCACATACAGTACTTGAAAAGAAGAATAAAATCTTCAAAAATGGGCATTTTACCATATATGGACAAACTTCTCCTCAAAAAGGGACAGTTGATTCTGTGATTATTTATACATAATCTTCCCCTCAAGTTGCCAAAAATAAGAATGAGTCAGAAAAAGTAAGGCCCCATAAGAAAGTGAATAAGGACGTAAGTATGTCTGAAAGGCTCTAGAATTTTGTTTGAAAACCTCTTGAAAATATTTTTAAATTTCCCAAATGATTAGTAACATCACCACCAATGGTCCTCCCACATCAAACTCAACCAGCCACACATGAACACATCTTTTTCCTTTCTGTCCACCTCCAACCCTCCTCCTTCCCCTATAGTCGTAACTCCCGGAAAGGGTTTACTGTTTGTTCAGTCCTCTAGTTTAATAGCTTTGACTCACTTTCCTCTGTACTTTACATCTAAAGGTCAAAGTCCAGTTGGTTCTTCATGTTTCAGAAATGGCTTCCTATCCTGTCACCCCCATGTTCAGGCTTTTGCCTAATCACTGAGACCACCTCCTAGCCACCTTCCTGCCACTTGTATCTCCTTACTCCAGTCCATTCCACCCAGCCACAGGCATGAGGTGGACATATATGTTGTAATATGTACTTCTCTCTCCAAGGCGTATTGCTGTCACAAAAAGTATAAAAATTGACTCATCACATCTTTACATGTCAATGTATACATTCATATAATTTATGTAAAAATTAGGGAAGGGGAAAAAAGAATATTATAATGAATGTATAGACATGCAATATTACTTGGGTAATAATTCTAACATGCTAGGATTAATATAACAATATAACATATATAAACAACAGACTATTAATGTTTTAAAGTAAATTCAACGCAAGTACATTTTTTTCTCTATTTCTTGCTTTAAAAAAGGAAAGTGAAGCACAGTAGTGAAACGACCTTCGCTGAAAGTTTGAAATCAGGTAACTAAAGACCCAGCTGGCTAACAGTTGCCAAGAGGGAATGAAAAGGCTCTGACACTCAGTTAAATTACATTAAATTAGATGATGTTTGATATTGAGGCCTGGCACATAGTAAGTGTTCAATCATATCCACTGAACAGAGAAATCAATTGGGAATTAATGAGACTCACACTTTTCATACCAAAGATCTGGAATAATTCTTTAAAATGTTGCTCTAAGATGTAGTAATGGAGACTGGTTGTTATTTTAATAGTTTTTTTAAATTAAAATATCATTATGCGAAAAAGTGGTTCTAGTCTTCCTGTTTTTTAAAAACACAATAAAATCTATGTCCAGTTTATAATTCAGAAATTAGTTTACTTACTGGATGTTTACCCGAACGGAATTAAAAACTCACGAGAATGTAAAACTTCTAAAAATTCTGTGATATAATATAAAAAGGTATACTGTAGTCCCCCTTTATCTGTGGGGGATATGTTTCATGACCCTTTTCCTATTCATACATGCCTATGATAAAGTTTAATTTATAAATCAGACATAATTAGAAATTAACAATAATAACTAATAATAAAGTAGAACAATTAACAACATACTGTAATAAAACTTCTGTGAATGTGGTCTCTCTCTGGTAACCAATCTGATAACCAAGACGGGTACTAAGTGACTAACGGGTGGACAGCTTGGATGCCCTGGACAAAGGGATGATTCCCATTCGTGGTGGGACAGGGTCAGATTTCATCACACTACACAGAATGGCGTGCAATTTAAAACTTAGGAACTGTTTATATCTGGAATTTCCCATTTAATATTTTAGGATTGCAGTTGCCTGCAGGTAGCTGACACTGCAAAGCGAAACCATGGATAAGGGGGGACTCTTATTATCAGAAAAGTAAGATTTCCAGGCAAATAGTCATAAAGTCTGATCGTGTGAAAATGGAACGTCAAAGTTCTTTCCATTCAGATTTTTAAATGCTCTCTTAGGCCAGAAGTAGGAATTACCAAGAATCTTTGCTTTGCTCCCACCCTTTACATGCAGATATACACCCTACACAATTATCTGCAGCACAAATGCGATGCCTGAATCACATTCATACCCACCGAGAAGCCAGCTCTGAGTGCAGTGTACCCCCAATGGCCAGATCCTGAGCAACACCCGGGGTACATATTAAAAGCACAGATTCCTAGATTTCTCTTGTGGAGATTCTGACTTGGTCGGCCAGGGGAGGAACCCAAAAATCTGCTTTTAACATTCAATCCCGGTGACTATGACTTGACTGACACATTAGGGAAGCAAGGTCTTGTAGACTCTCACCCTGCACGTCTCTTTGCAAATTCAGAACTCAAAGATTAAAAACATGACAACAAGAGCCTATAAAAAACTCAAGGATGGTTCAATAGGAGAAGAGCTTATAGGACAATAATAAATACCCATTACTTTTAAAGTTTTTTTTAAAACATATAATAACCCCAAAGCGATAGAATTAAAGGATAAAGGGGCATAAATATCCAGAGCTTCTATCTTTTAGGTTGATTCATAAAGCCACAGAATATGAAAGGATCCTCCTTCCTCTTTTTATCTGTTACTAGTAAAGTTTTCACACACATCCCCCCCCCAAAAAAAAAGATTAAAGGGAAAAGACAGAGGTGAGTTCTGAAGTAGGTAGTTCTGGCTAGGAGGAAGGCTAATATATATGGTAGAGTAGGTGTCTGACTTGCAAAAGGTTTAGTGACTTGCCCAAGTTGACTTTGCTGGTCTGCTTAGGGCTGAAATTAGGTCTAGAAACAGGGTTGGGGAGAAGGCGTGAAGTCATATAGACATGTTGATAAATGGATGGATGAATAAGGGGTAGATTTGCAAACACCCTGGTCCAAAAGGTGACATGCTTTGTTATTGGCCCACTCTATGAGCAGAAAGACTTTACTTATTACCGTGGCACTTTTTGTCACAAAACAGGTAGAAGCCAATATTCTACAGCTTTCTTGCCTCACTGATTAATGATACATTCCTTCAGCACCTTATAACTCATTTAGTTCCCATATTTGTAAAAGGTGGGACAGTGTTCTCTGCCACTGAGGGTTTAGAACAGAGCAGTAAGGATTATAAGAAGCTTTTCACATATGAACAGTTATGGAGATCATAATACACTGAAGCATAAATGACAGAATTGAATTCATGTTCCCACTAAATGAGTTAGTCTTAAAGCATTTGAATTATCATCAGATCAATTGTGCCTTACTCTTACATACACATGACTAAATGTCTCGATAATTTCTGGTTAGGTGTAAGCTCTACTCAGTTTGCTCCTCTAAGAATGAAATATCTGCTATGGAAGGGCAGGGGAAAAGATGAAACTTAGAAGGTTAGAATTAGAAAGGGCAAGCTAACTAGTTTTGCATGTCTACAGTGTATACATCTGAATTGCTATCATTTTCATTTCATTCCATTTTTTAAAAATATTTTCAATTACAGAAAATGAAATATCAGAGAAATTGAGGGAAATGAAGGAAATAAAAGATGAATCTATAATAGTCAACTCAAGCTACAGAATATATGGAACTTGTAATAAATTCAATGAAATATTTCAGAAAATTACAGACATTTCTTTGGAATTAAAATTCAGGTCCATCTGAATAATGTAACTTTTGTACCAAGCCCACCCAAGACGTTACAGGGGAAAAAACAATAACTCAGGATGTAATTTGATCCTTCTTCCTCAAAGTAAAGATGATAGGAATCTTTTCAATTTTTTTCAACTTTTAAAATAGAGATTCATGGAAAGTTGCAAGGACAGTACAGAGAGGTCTCATACAGCACTTTCAGTAGTTTAACTCATATTCTTATTCAATTCTGGCATCTGCTTCATGTCTGTCTGGATCAGCATTACTTTGTATCTTTACCCAAGGTGGGACCTTCTTTGTTATTCATATGTTCACATGTATGAAGTGCTAATGACGCAGAATGTGTGGGAAAATGATATGCTTGTTTTTCTCTCCAGTTTTAACAATCCATATAATTTCTGACAATCATATACCTTAAAATTAGAAAACTAATTGTGCCATTCCCCTGTCTCCTAGACCTCCTCTCCCCATTTGGTTGTGCATTCCTTCCTTTAAGTAGTTGCTTTTTCTCTTGGGTCTGGGTCTCAGAATGAATATCACCCAAAGCGGGTTCATACGCCTGGAGACAAATCATTTCTCCGCTCATTCAACAAATTATGATGAAGTGACAACACTGTGCCAAGAGCTGTTATCTGCACTGAGCATAAAGGCTGTCCACACGTCAGAGCCAGTCCTGCCCTCATGGACTCTACCGTCCACCAAGGAAGATAGCAAAGTTCAAAACGCCTTGTTACAGAAGAAGACAGGCCGGGTGCTGTGTATTACCAGGTGGATCTAACTCAGTCTGGGGTTTAGGGAAGACGTTCTGGAAGAGGAGACACGAGGGACAAGTCCATATTATGTTATGGTTTAGTTAATAGCTTTTTGTATGCTCTTTTTTGCATTCTTACCACAATCTTGATTTAAGTTCAATTTTTCACTTTTTCTCCAGAATGTTTCAAGAGTGTTAATAGATTTCTCCAATAGATGGTGCTGTGAACAACATAAAGCTACAGATTTCACCTGTCATTGCTCAACTGCTTCTACAACCTAACTGGACACTTTAAGATCACTATTTGTCTCAGGGCTGATAAATTAAAAACAAGTAAATTTGCTTCACTGAAATGAAGCAAAGTTGTAATTTTTAACTGAGAAGTCTGTTTCTAAAATATTGTTGATATAGTTAGATAAAAAAATCACAGAAAATTTATTTTGTTATGTAACATTATAAGTATCAATTTTCCTTTCCTGACTCCAATTCCAGTAGTATAATTTATTAAATCTAAAATGTAGCATCTTCAAATCTCATTTGCTCTCATCTGAAACTTAAGCAATCACAACAAGAGAGAAAGTATTTTCCTAGCATTATAACATTGTTTGGAGAAGTTTAGGAACATTTTGTTCCAATACAGTGACTGAGATTTCAAAATCATAGCCTAATTCCTATATCCCCAAAGCATTCTTCTGATACTTAGGTAGCAATGATTTTGATTTTAAAACCTAATGGTAACGTGAAACAAAGTCTACACACTGTCCAGAGAAGCACTGCCCAAAAGAAGTATAATGCAAGCCGCATATGTAAATATCTAATGTTCTTATAGAAACACTAACAAGTAAACAGGTACAGGTGAAATTAATTTTAACAATGTTATATTTAGGCCAGTATTTTTGAAATATTACCATTTCAACATGTAACCAGCATAAACATTTTTAATGAGATATACAGGCTGTCCCCCCAAAAATGTATACATACTGTAACAGCTGATAGCTCAATTTTGAAAATGAAATGTATTTTAATAAACACTGGCTTTATAATTATTCAGTGTGTGTATACATTTTTTGGGACACTCAATGTGTCTACTTTGGGAGGTGTACTAAATCTTTGTATATCATGTATTTTACATTCATAGCATCCATATCTCAATTTGTACAAACCCCATTTCAAGTGCTCTATAACCACATGTAGCTAGTGGCTACTGTATTGGATAGTGCAGGACTCAGTGTGTCTCATCAATTTTTAAGTTAAGACCTCTATGGAAGAAGAATTCTTCCACCAATCAAATACTCCCAGGTCCAGCATAACTGCAAACTACAAAACACCCCTTGGGTCTGGCTTTGGAGGCACAATTTTAAACATGTGTAAATGAACTTTGTGGGTTTAATTAAAGTAAGGTTTTAATTAAACTTATAAAGTGGGTTTAATCTGGTACACCGTAAAGAGTTTTTTGGGGAAGCAGAATGAGTATTCTCTGTTTTGCGGTATCTTTTTCTCTGTTGAGAAAACACGAATCGACAAGTGCTAGAACAAGATCTGTGTCCGCTGCCAGAGAGAAAAGTTGCTCCTGCCACATGATACCTTGGTGGTAACAGCAGGCTCTTCACACCCAGACCAACTGTCCTGTGTCATTCTAGAGGCCTCTAGAATAGAGCCCTGCTGACACACCCCCTTCATTAGCATAACCACGGAGGCTCTCGTCTCACAGGCTTGCACCGTATTTTGCAATGACCACATCCTTTTGAGTCACACATGAACTGAGAGGGTTACTTGGTTAGTAATGGAACATTTACATAGCAGCTGACCTTTACGTAGCATTTTTGTTCCCCACAAAGTAGTTTCATAGGCATCCTTCATTTGAAAACATACAAAGGCAAAGGAGTAATGTAGAAAAACAACTCGAGTTGAGTCAGAAGTCCGGATTTTGGAAGTCTCCACCTATTTATTTGCTATTTCCTGGGTGGGTGGTGGTGATGGGACGAGTGTTACCACCATCAACTGTGACCAGGGCTTCCACTGGCCCTAGTGGTGTCTGTGTGATTTAGAAAAGGGTGCCCACTTGGGAGGGACATAGTGTGGGAGGTAACATGAAACCTCCCACACGATGCTTCTACTTCTCCTCCTGAGAAAACTTTGACTAGTTGGACTTGAAAGGAAAAAGAAGGGTTGTTTTTTATGCTTTTAGAGCTAGATTGATTTTTCTTTCTGCCTGTTTTTACAGGGGTTGGGGGGCGTCCCAATAAAAATGAAGAAACTTTGGGAACAGAGGAAGAGTGGCAGTAAGTGGGGCTTGAACTGGGTATGAAATCTGAAGAATGGAGGTTCAGATATAAAAGGTGTGTAGTGGATCTTCATAATTATTATTTTAAAATTCAATACATCAAGAAAACCACTGTGCCTTCAACATTCAGTCCTCATTTTTGCTGCTCTGGCTCTCCAGTGCTTGATTTTTAAGCCCAAAAGTATTTACATTTCCTTTTAATTGTCTAAAATGGAACCCAAGTTTATCTGATCTTTAAAAATGTAGCATAGAAACTCTATCTACTATTTCCAAGATAACACACAGAATCCAGGACAGAGGGCTATATCTTCATTTCTTTAAAACACCTTAGTATGGTGAACCATTTGTCTAGGCAAAGACATGACTCACTCCTATTTGAAAATTGGTTTATTAAAAACAAAATAAAGTCATGTCAGCATGAAATTATGGAACTCCATTCCACATAATTTTAAAAAAATTCTATTTCTGCCTGACAGGAGATACTATCATTTATACTAAAAAAATGAAGAAGAATACATTATTAGAATATTAGGTGGTTTTTACTAGAACTTCAGTGTCCAATGAGATAGCCACTGGCGACATATGGCTATTTAAAATTACTTAAAATTAAGCAAAATTAAAACTTCCCTTCCTCAGTTGCACTAGCCACATTATGAGTACTCAAGAGTCACCTGTGACTAGTGATAGCTGTTGGAAAGCACAGTGTTTATATTTCCATCACCGTAGGAAGCTCTATTGGACAGTGCTGTCTTTGAATATTCAATATTCCTGCTAGAATACAGTTACTCTCCAGTACTTTCCTCAAAGTAAATGCTCCTCTTTAACTGTTTTTCTCCTGGAGATGAACACTAACAAAGTTTGGGGTAGAGGAAATGAACTAATGAGAACTTTCCTCCATAAAGCTACATCTTATAATATTGCGGTTCCTCATTCTGCTCACTCACCGGGACTGCATGAGTTAGTCTAAAGCAGCTCTGTGCCTGACACTGGTGACTCAAAGGTGACCAAGACATGTACCCTGCTCTCGGAGCTCACAGTATCAAGGTCACTACCCATTAAAAAGAAGAAAATTCTGTGTAGTGGATGCTACATTTTAAAGATTAGTCATCTACATTAGCATTTAAGAAATATGGATATATGAAAATATTTTTATATTTTATTTTCCTTAAAACAAAAACAAACTATCCTCTATGGAATACCCATTTCCCTTATTCTCTCAGATTTTTATTCTGAATTATCTGTATTATTTTTATTTTCAAAATGCTAATTCAATTCATTCTCTTAGTATTTATTCTTTTTTAAAACTCTTGATTATACATTCTTATAAATGTCCTTCTAAGAGAATGACTATTTTTCAAGCTTTGAAATAAGTTAAGGTAATAAAAATGAAAAATCTTATTGCCATTGCATGGTCCTACCCATCAGAAATTATCTGAAGCTGGAGATGGTGATATAAATATCAGTATTATGAAGATATATTTAATGTATGTTCATTAAATACATAACATTTAAAATGACTATCCCTCTGGACCTTTAAATCTACAGGTTTGTAGGAATTTTCCCTTTAGGTTTATTTTCTTCTCCACAAGACACACATTTCTAAAATAAGGGGGATATAGTTAAATCTTTGAAAACAGGTAGGACTAGATTTCAACCCTGGTGAGGCTACTTAGTTGGGGTAACCTTATATGTAACTTGACATGTCTATACTTCAGTTCCTTTACCTCTGAAGTGGGATTAAAGCTTCCCATTTTTCAGGACTGTGCTTTCATTTAAGATTTTCATATATACAGGCGTTTATTAGTCCCTCATGAACGCTAGACACTCAACAATCATTAGTTCCCTCCCCTTGCTGTAAAGACACCCGAAATTCCTGGTTGGCTGTAATTAACTATCTTATGCAAAACCTTTGGCCTGACATTTTTTTAGCCTATAGAATAATATAACAGTGACAACAACTGATATTTATCAAGGGCTTACTATGTGACAGGGGCTGTATTTCATTAGTCTTCACATAATTATTTTTTCTTAACAACAATCCTATAATGCAAGGAAGGTAATCTCCATGTCACAGAAGTAACAAAGGCTCACAGGGATCAAAGAACTTGCCCATGGTCATCCCTCAAACCCCCTTGAATCTGTGGAGCCCCTCTGTCCACATTTTGAAACAAGGAGTGACTTTTCTGGAAGCATTCCAGAAATAAGTGAGTTAAACCCTCAGAGAGTCCATTTTATGGCATGTGAGTTACATCTCCAATAAAGCAATTATTTAAAACAACTGATGGATTTGTGGTGATTAGGGAGTCAGTATAAAATAAAGACTGGCTTTATTTTATGGTGACCTTGGTCTATAAAACTGCATCAAGTATCTACTCTCAAAGTAAGTCCATTCCTAATGTCTGCACACCTCAGAAAAACGGCTTTGATTCTAAGGGTTAGACAGCCTGAGGTGTGTATGAGGAAGTGACATGCTCAGTTATATGTCAGTCTTATAGGTCAAAGAGTAAGACCTGCAGCAACAAAGACTCCAATAATTAGCCGGAAGCATATTTTTTAAAAAATGGATTACAGCTCAAGAGAAATTAAACATTCATGAAGAATACTGGAAGAATCTGGGGGAAAACTGATAGAAGGGTCTGAAAGTAATAATTCCAAAAATAAAATGTGAACGTATTTTCTTACAAATGCTCTGCATACTTTGCATACCTTCCACAATTTTTTTCACCCCCTCTTTATACATCTTTGACTTAGAAAACTTTCTTGGGTTTTGGAAAGATTGACGTATTTGATGAAACAGTCACAACCGTTACTTGTACATTAGTATTATGAGGGAAAACGTTTGTTACATTAAACGGAACTTCATGCCTTACATACACAAAACAGCAACTAAAGTTGAGGAACCTCATTCCCAGCTTGAAATACAAATGTGTGAAGTCCAGAATGTTTCTTTTAGTCTAGTTATTCCTTTGATATTTTTCCTGCAGAGACTTATAGAAACAAAGAGTCATCATAATTACCTTCATCCATGCCATTAAGTAATTCAGTTAAATCTTCATTTTTACTGTCAAATTGGTGCTCCTTCCATGTTTCTCCATTTTCACTTCGAAGAACAATGAGTTCCCTCTCTTTTCCTCTCATAGAGCCAAAGTGAGGTATTTCCACTATGACAGGGCTGGAAAAAAATCCACATTATTTTGGTATCAAATGAAATATACTTATAGTATCATACTTAAAAAAAAGTTTCATTAACGGATTCATTGGAAAATCAGAGGTGCCACTAAGGTTGGGAATGATTTCAAAGCTGCAGAATCATTTGCTAATTAAATAATATATTAGAAGCTTGAAAACATGCCATCATTCATTCATTCACAAACAATTCTTGAGGGCCTACTATAGGTTAGGCTTTTGATTTAATGGGGGAGGGGGAAATATTTAGCCAGTATAAAAATAAATTTTGATTCAAGGAATTGAGGATTATAAAAATAGACCATAAGAAAGAAAGTTGGTCCATTTTAAAAAACACAATAGGTATAATATTATATTTTATAAAAATTGCTAATGATTTAAAAGGACACAGTCATTTATTTAAAAAAAGAATTCTGTAAATTTCCTATTTTAAAGATTACTGATTTTTTTTCCCCTTAGCAAGAAAACGATCAATGTAACAACCCACTCCTCCAATAGTCCGTTTGCATGACTTTCACAGCCTAGGTAGTTAAGACACTTTCTCTGATTTTAAATTTGTGAAATGGTAGAGGGCAGCTTAATTTCCTAGCTCTAGTTTAACCTGCATAGGAATCTTTAAATTTTCTGAAAAAGCACTTGTTGGTTTGAAATTGCCATATAATCTGTTAATTTTTGACAGTGTCCTTTGCAAAAGAATGGCTGCAAATTGAAGATAGCCAATCAAGCACAGGAATAATTTTGTTAAATTTTAAAATAGGATAAATGTTACAAAAAAACGAATGGAAGTAAGCAGACCACAATCACATACAATTTATGTAGTTGGATTGTGCAGCTTTCTTTTATGACATTTAAGTAGACAGTATCATTATTCTCCTACAGAGGTTGTATGTAACCTCGCCTCTTCACCTATGTATTTATGTATGTGTGATAACAGCAGGTAAAGGCTTCCATTGGGTTAGAACATAAAAAGGGACAGTAGTTGCAACGATCAACTAACATAATAAAAACATGACTATTGGCACTCACTTAAAATGGGATGACAAATATGATCATTATACTTTTGGCAAAGTAAGTACAGTTAATTCAAATTAAAGATTTAAAAGATATGTATGCCTTTATTTTTTTGACAGGTAGAGGCAAAATCACCTACCTCTAGTAGTGTTAGTAATTCTAAGTTATTTACCATAGTTTTTATTTTTAATCACCGCTGATAATTAAATATTAATTTCTTTCAGAACGATATACAATCTTTGCAGGTTAATGTATCAGATACTGTCTCTGTGAATATTTAGGGAATGTGACTGTGTGTATGACACTCAACATCACTGGAGAGAAGATATGACAAGGACCTCTGACCAGGTGAAAGCCAAGCGTAACTTTTCATGACACGTTTCCTCATGCAGACTGCCAAGGCACATACATCGAACAGACGAGCAAACAAGTGACACATACCAACACATCAGCTAAACAAAATAAAACAAAACAATGTGGTAACTACAGTAGAATATCCTATCTGCTGCCTATTTGGTTTTCTTTCCATATCTCGTATTCCCAACATTTTTTGAAATCAGTTTACTTATGGATCACTTTTCCTTCGCAAAGCCCATGGAAATTACTCAAACATTTTTTTAAATGTAACTCCACACACATACATATATACACATCTACATATATATACACACATACATCTCCCACTAATAGCAAATGTTGATCTAAAGCCTGAAAATACCTTCTCCTACACTGGGTTGAAATTAGACTGCCTGTCTATCTGAAAAGCTATCATAGTCAGAACATTTCAAATGAAAGAAAGGCTTGCAAAAGCACAAAAAAAAAATGAAAGCAGAATGCTTGCAGTGAATTCCACATGCTTGAAAAGCACAAGATAGGTAGCGTTGCGACATTAAGTCAAGCCACTATGATTTTGTTTTTTCCTTTCAGTGACACACATCAACTGAAAGCATTAACAATTAAAAAAAAATAAAAATGAACTTAAGAATAAGACTATGGGTGTGACAGAAAAAAACTGAAAATGGAAAAAGAATTGTAGACATTCTGTATCTTGTCTATGAAGAGCCTACCCAATAAATTTTGTTCCTTGAGGCCCAAGCTGCAGGATTCGGCTAACCAAGCTCTCACCCTCAGTTACAGGGGGAGGATGGGTGGGAAGATGCAGTTTACTGAATAAGATCCATGCAGCAGGAAGAGAAACGAGAAGGGGAAACCGTGAACAAACTGTCCGTCACGACAGAGCCTGCCTGATTCGCACCCAAGTGCCACCTCAGATAGTGAAATCAATTTAGTGTTTCTTTTTGTAAAATACCATATCACAATGGATTGTTTCCCCCGGCAGTGATCTTCATAAAAGAACATGTACCCCAAGCAGCCATTTATTCAACGTGGTGATAAAGTTCCAGCACCCATATTTATTTTCCCTAAGCATGGCGCCTTGACCCTAAGGGTGGCATTGGGGTTCCGTGCACTCACTGAGCAGAGAACATGCTTCTGGGTTAGTAAAAGCTTTGACCAGCAAACTGAGTTAGGGGAGGATCAGCCTATGAGCTTTGTGACCTCTGACACTTCACAAAAGGTGCGCTCAATGCCCGTCCAACTACGCCATTTTAATAGCTAACGTCTCAAGTTAAGGGCAAAGAAAAATCAAAGATGTGGTTATGAGGGCCAAGGTTAAAATCGACACAATAACTTACCCTAGAAATTGGGCCCCTGCAGGACCCATTTCTACCAGCCTACTGGCTAGTCCCTCTCCTTCCACCATGGGGGGTGGGGTGGCCAGTTTATGTCTCTTTACCAGACGGCAGGTGATTCGGGTGGGGGCCGTGCACTTGCGTGGGGGGATGATGATTCTCATCCCGTGGTGACGGCTGCCTCTCATGGAGCCGCCTCTCGCGTCCACCATGAAGCTCACGAGAAACCTGCAGGGAGAAGATCAGAGGCCAAATCAAGGACAGAAATAAGCCATCTCCCAGAGGAGGTTTTGAAATTAAACGTTGAAAGTTTAAAGTGACAGACAGTGCAGCTATCATTTCCTCTCTTTAGAAATAAATCGGAAGTCAATACAGTGGAGTCACATCAAACATGCATTTAACTTGTGAGCTGGGCACAAAGTGAGACATGACAACTTCGTTTTGGTGGCACACGGCCCCCTGGGCGAAGCCGACCGCTTCGTCAGTGGCTCAAAGGGAAGGAACAGTGACGGTTCCAAAACGGGCATAAAAACCGGCGAAAGGACTGTCATGCGTTTGAAAACAAAAAACAAAACCACCGCATGTGGTCTCTTGTGGGTGTTGTAAGCTAGACTCAAGGATCACTTTCACTGCAAATAGTTGTAGCCATTTGCTGACTATGGAATCTCTAGCCCTGAAAGGTAAGATGAAACTCCACAGTATGTCTTAACATGTACAGTTCCTAAAAATGAATGTATATTTACTCAGACCAGCACTCTAATTTTTACTATCACAAAGCAGAATATAATCATAAAAGCAGAAGATGGCTAGTGTCGCTAAGGCAATTTTGATGGAAAGGGATTTGATTTCTTTAAAATATAAATCTGGCTTTAAAATAACCTACATTTGAGTATTTGTACAGCAATACAAATATCATCACTTAGGCCTCTTAGAAAATATCTCTCAACTACATAATTCTGTCATTGACCTCTACATTAAAGCTAATGAAAATGTAAAGAAATTAACTGTCACATCAGGGAAACAGCACATTGTGATGTGCGATTCCTGTCGTGTGCTCAGGGCAAGGAGTCCCCCGGCAAGTTCTCCCCCCAGGGCCACAGTGCTGAACCCAACACACCGAGGGGTGCACGGCAGAAGGTGAACAGGAACGCGGATCTGCGCGCGCTCATGTTCACATGTGAAAATGTGCTTGGGAATGGAACAGCATTAAATGTGGATGATGAGAAAATTGTTTGACTACCTACAGTATTTTAGGGAAAAAATTATCCCATCCATCAAAATCCTTTATCATTTATTCATCTAAAAACAGTTCTAAAATCCTGCAAATAGATTTGAGGACCCTGGCTGGAGGTCCTAGCTGGGGACCCTTTCCTAGAGAGTTAGCCTCTTGACCCGCAACCTCTTCAATAAAGCAAACTGACTTGCTCTCCCCGTGGAGAGAGACACACGGAGGTCATTTTTTTAGCCAATCCGATTTTCAGAACCGTTACTGGTCGTCAGTGGGGCAGAATCAACTTCACGCCCTTTTGCTCATTTTGGATTTAGCCATTTTCTTCTGAGTTAATTTATGTTTTCCATAACATTATACCTACTTTGAGAGACTGGGGCCACTGTGACATCTGAGGGGAAGAGATGGACCCCTTAAAAAAAAAAGCACTCCTTCCTAGTCAAAGATACGTGTTCACTTATACATGTCCACACGAACTGTCTCCAGTGCTCACGAACCTACGCTGGGAGCCTACATTTTCTTACATCTATACATGTTTAACCACCACTTTTAGTCAGTAACAAAGATAACGTGGCAATGAAGTCTCAGACAAAATCTGATGTCTCCCAGCAGTTAACGGTGAAAATCAACTTGTGATTGAGAATCATAGGAAGAGAATGGATGGAAAAATGATTCAATACTAACTCTGGGTTTGAAAATTCAGTGGTATCAGTACGATAAACATGGGGGTGTTTACACTGGGAGGGCAACGTATGCCCTGGCAACAAGCAGCTGAGTCTCCATGAGATAGACAGACAGTCATTCAGATCAGGTCTGCCTTGCTCACTGCTCCTCCTGCAGAGCCGAGCGCAGTTCCTACACACAAGACACGTTTACTGAATGAACTAACGAACAAAACTATTTTGTTAAGCGTGCTAAGAAACTGCCTAGGCCAGACTTGGTTACTAATATATATATAAATAAAATAGCATTGGTAGCTAAGTAGTCTGAAGGTAGTATAAGAAGGTAATCAGTGTCAATATAAAAATATCCCAGCTACAAAGAATATCAGAACCAAATGGAAAAAGACACATGGCTTTAGGAGATTTTAATGACAAATTGGAAGAGCCTCTTTGTGTTCTGATAGCATCCCCGTGCGGAGCTGGAGCTCATGACCAACTGTGTATTGTTCTAAGGTTTTCAACTTTATGGAGCCCACAGACTGGGGAAAGGTGGGAGTACATGTTAGGCAGAATATGGGTTCTATTATTCAATCACATTATGAACTAGAGTGATTTCTTTTACAAACTCATTCCTTACATATTCTGTATAAAATAAAATTCCATGCAATATAACTTACAGAAACAAATTAAAAGGTGATGTTCAATCATGTGCGTTGTATCTTTTATTATTTAAATTAAAGCAGGAATTCTACAAATGATCCTAAAATTAACACATGAATATTTCTAGTTTTAGGAACAGCGAGATGACAAATGCTGATACACTACAGACATTGACACAATCTAACTGCGGGAGGTGCGGGGGGGGGGGGGGGGAGGATTCACATAAATTAAAAATACAAAAGAGAATGGTTCACATAAAGGACAAGTTATCACCTTGAATCATACTGAGGAAGTGGAGAAGAATAGCTGCAAAATAATTTAGAAAGCAAATGGGAAAAATTAATGTAAGATAATTAGAAGCAAGCAACAGAAAATGTCAATGATAAGCAAAAGAAAAATAAAAACCATCAGAACATGAAACCAAAGCATTTGGCATTTGTGGGACCACCTGTAAAAATACTTGCCATACACAAGCTACTCCACAGACCTAGCATTAATGAACTATTTCCAAGTATATACCACGTCTGTATTTTTCTTTTCAAAGAAGCCCATATTAGCTGTCATTATTTTTGCTTTCCTGCACATGTCTATTGTCTTTGATTCAAGGAGCAGAGATAATTTGCATATTCAAATACTCCATTGTCTCTAATGTATGCGAAAGTTCATTTCTGATTTTATTATCCTATGCTTCCTCAGCCTCTCAGTTTAATAAATCAATGGCTAGTACTTTTCTTTCCCACGTAGAGGGTACAAAGTTCTTTGTAACAACGGTGACATTCACCAAGCTTGATTCCAAAAACTCTTCAACATGTCTGCCCACAAAATGTATGCCAAGTATTTTACATTTTCCTTCTCAACTCTGATTGGTTTTGCTTTTGCAATTTTAGACTCACGTATATCTACTAGAAGTTTTATAAATATTGTTAGCTGTTTTAATAATTACCATTACTATAATTGAAGGTTTTTCTAATTTAGTTAAATACAATGTTAATGACTCAAAGACCGTCATGTAGTTTATCATTTATACATACAGCATTTTCATGTAAATCATTGCCATTGGAATGACACTTCTGTTTTTCAGAATTGTGGTGTTCCAAGCTGAGCTCCATAAGACTACTATAAATACTACAGAATGCTGTGAATTACCTGCACCATTACTCTGAATCTCAGACTTTTCATCTGTAGAACAGGGATAATGAGTAAAACCTCTCACCGTGTCATTCTAGCTCAAATAAATACTAAATAAGACCATACATGTAAAACATTTAGCACAATGCCAGGTACATGAAAAGCACAAGGTAAATTAGCGATTATAATTTCTTTTAATTAAAAGCAGCAGCAAACACTTCATGAAACACATAAGGCACTACAGTGTTAATGACTGATCATTTATTTAATTCCAAATGAATCAGCCTTTGTCCTGGATCACAACTAATGTGTGGCCTACGTGCCAATTTCAGAGGTGAAAATACCTTGAACCATGTTCACTATCGGATGCATTATTTCTATTCCATGTGTACCGAGAACACTTACCCGAGGTTTTGATGACCTATAGGTAAAGAATCCAATTATCTAAATATACATTGATTATCAATTTATCAGTCGAAGCAGTTCAGCTTTTAGCACCAGCCTCAAATTTTGCTGGTGGGGGGCAGGGGACGGGGCAGCAGTGAGGCCTGTTTGATGTGCTTCTCACCACAGGACTTCTCATGGGACATACCGTGGCACATTCATTTTTTAAAAAGTGGATTTCTCTATATTCTTTGAAAAACTCATTTCTCTTTTCTAATTGTAATTTAATACAATTATAACTTCATTTCAGAAATGTGGAAGGGGACCAAACTTGATCTAGAGGTTTCAAGTTTGTATTTTCTTTTTAAAGGAAAATCACACAAAACCGATCACTTGTCAAATCAGAGGCCTATATCATATGAGAAAAATATAAGAACACCACAGTTTACTGCTAATTTAAAAACTAAACTTTTGAGTGAAATCCACCTATCATTCGAAGCAAAGCGCCAAAGCAAGTCAAACTGAGGCAGCACAGGGGTGTGAGGCAGGGGACAGAAAACACCAGGTAGCCACGAAGCCAAGGCGAGGCTAGATGGTCGCATGGATTCTGTGATAAGCTGACCACAAAATTGTCACCACCCTCCACTCTGTACTCAAGAACAAAGAGGCAGCCGACTGTCTCCCTGGCCTGCTTAAACATGCGCAGTGGATCAAGCTTTGACTCTTGGGGACCTTCCTAGGGTGGCAGTAATGAGCAGTCTGCCACCTTGCCCCCACAGCTGCAGGTGGAAACGCAGTTACAGGCCAGGCGGCTGGAAAGGCAAGTCCTCCCAACCCTGAAATGAAAAATTCCCCAAGCCCGCCTTTTTCAAAAAGTCTGTCCACTTTGTCCCCAGCTTATAAAATCAGCCACGCAGAGCCAGTCCCCAAGTCAGTTCAGAGGCCCTTTGCTGCCTCCTTTGTACTCGAGCACAAGCTTAATAAAATCTGTCTGGAAATGTCTCTGGGGTTTCTGTTTGAGTTCTGTCTTGGGGAACCCAAGAACCCCAAGGTGGGTAACGAAACAATGAGATAAATTAATAGAAAGATTTCATATATATATTTATTAAAAAGGAAAATCACATCAGATATTTAGGGGAAATTTTCATTTGAATAAAGTAAAATTAAGAGAAATGGCTATACATATTTTTTTTAATTGATAAGGAAAAATTAAAGACCTAGAAATGTGCCAGCATTGCCAGGAAAATTTTAGGCACCAAAACTTTAATGAATTTCCTTTCTAACACTGTGCTTCTCTATTAATAAAAATAGATATACACATTTGCTTAAAAATATTCACCAATGAGTTATAAAGTATGCCACAAACACTCACTGATTAAGTCCTATAGAAGATCAATATTGCATACAAATAAAGTTTGTCAATATGAGTTCATAACTGCAATATTAAATGCAATGCTAGCTTCACAGGATAAAGAAAAGTGCTTTAGGTTACTTACCCAGAATGAACAGGACTTGAGACAAGATTGACATTGTCCAAGGTGTCTGCAGCCCAGCTATAGTGTCTAAGAGAATCTGAGTCAAATTCTCTTGTGAATGTTAGGTGCTGGAAAAGGAAATGATAGATTGCATCAACAACCCACACAAGACATTGTTTTTCTCTGCATTTACAAAATATACCTGTATGTCTCTATCAGTCCAGGTAGTCTACATTCACAGTAAATAATTTATATACACTCCACTACAGGTCTACACAGACATTTCAAGAATTGGAAAATAGAGGTTATTTCAATCCTTTAAGAAAGCATCTGGAGTAATTGGCATAGCAAGAGGAATCGAGGAATAATTCTAACCATGCCTTTAAGCACTTCAACACATCTTCAAATTAATCCTACAACAGTTGTAAAATTCTTTCCCAAATTTCAAAAGGAAAATAAAACATTCAGTCTTGACGACTTCTGTCTCCAAGTGGGGCAGAATAGCCTGCTGCCGCCGCCAAGTCAGATAAATATGGAAATCATGTCTGAGTGCGGCAGAGAACAGCTGGGGCATGAACTGGAGGAGCTGGACTTGGGAGAGGGGAAGGTCTCCAACACTCATGCTGGCGTTTTGTTGCTACTTTTAAATTGAGGGCATTTCTCAATTACCAGTGTAGACCGAATGGGGGCTTTTGTACCTGCAGGGGCAGTTGCTGGGGAATAGAAAAATCAAAAGGAGTTCCGTGGAAATTTGGGACGCCTCCAGCGTGCTCTCCGTTAGGACATTGGCGGAATTCTGGGGCTGTGCAGAACAGGCTCACCAGAAAATCCGAAAGGCTCATGGAGCTTTGTGGCAGTTTCATGAGAAACAGATTGAGAGTTTGGAACTTGTCGGGAGAGGAGACTGGAAAATCACACCAGAGTTTTAAGTAAAGACCCCAAGGGACCAGGGACAAACCAGAGGCGGTCTCCACTTAAGCAGAGCTGCAAACCAGCCTCATTTCAGCAGACTCCCTCCCGATAGGATTAGATAACCAGCCACCATGTTTGCCAAGCAGAGGGAGGGTGAATCCTCTGTGGAGGCCCAGAGCAGCATCGGGCGTGCCGTGTCTGCATCTGTTTCACACATCATGTCCAGCACGCAATACAAAGCTGCCAGGCATGAACAAAAACAGGAAAAACACACCACACACCCAGATACTAGAGACTCCGGGTCATCCTACATTTTGAAGTAAGCTAGTAAGAACTTGAAGTAACTATGATTAGTATGTTTAAGAAAATAAGGAGAGAGAAAAAAGAAAAAGAAAAAGAGGATAATTTAACAGAGTATGGAATACATGTAAGAAAGAATCGAATGGGCATTTGTCCAGTTCTAAATACAATGTAAGTTCCGGACTAGACACAACAGAAAATGGGGTTGGTGAATTGGAAGCATAAATGGAAAACTATACAAAATGAAGGGTAGATGTTTTTAAAAGAGAATGGAAAATACAGAAAATAGTATGAAACATGTGCAACACAGTGAAAAATTTTTAACAGAAGTATAATTTAGAAGAGGAGAATAAAGCAAAAGTTATATTTGAATAGAGAATGGCTAGGAATGTTTTAAATCTGATATAAGATATTATCCCCCAGACCAAAAATAAGATCAATCTCAATTTTTGTCCTGTTCAAGAGTTGCTTCCTACTGATGCTCCATTAAATGACAGAACCAAAGACAGTAACAAATATGATAGCATTAAAGTTGAAAAGAATGTCTGGAAATTAGAGGGAGATTAAAATAAAAAATAGGAGAGAACATGTAAGAAAGCAGAGAATCAGTTCAGGAATTTCAAATCTTCTGTCCCTCTCCAAAAAAAGAAAAAGTTCTAAAAAGAGAAAAACAGTAATATACAGAAGTCAAGGAAATAATTCAAGAAAATTTCCCAGAGCTGACGACAGGTTCCCAGAGTACAAGGACCCACAGAATGACCAGAATTAGAGAGAAATATAAACCCTACTTCCAAACTTGAAGAAACAGAATGATTCTCCAAATTTTAGTGAGGAAAATGGTCACAGGTGACAAACTTCCACCAGATTTTAAGAGTAAAAACTGAGTTAAAGGCAAGGCAATGGAGCAATTCAATTCCTTCAATGTCCTGAGAGGAACTGATTTTTAACCCAGAAATCTATAACCAGCCAAATGAACAAAAAATATGGAAATTAAGAGTAGAATTATTTTCAGATATATGAAACCTCATAAAAAGACATATATCTGACACACTCTGTAAAGGAAACTATTGAAAGATATACTCCACCAAAACAGAGGCCTAAACCAAGTAAGACATAGGGTCTAATACAAAAACAGGGAGTTTCCATGGTGACGATGGAGGAGGAATCAGGAGGGCTCCGTTACTTTCTTAGTGACCACTAAGAAAGCTCTAGGGGGGATGAATTCAGAAGATGAAATTTATAGATCACCTAACAAGTGCGAACATATGGAGAGGAGATTTTTCACAACTGGGGAGGAGTGTGTGGGTTGAACTAGTGATTTGTACAGAGAGCAACAACCAAAGGAGAAAACTTAGGGGAAGCAAATACTGTACCAAAAAGAAAATGCAATCATAACATACTTCGCATCTGTAAATAACATGATGTAGGCATAACAATAGACACATTAATCACATACTGGTATAACCAAAATAAAATACAACGGTTTAGGGAGAGTGGGGTCGGGGGGAGTGGGAAGTATATAAAGTGGGAGAGAAGAGTTGTTTAAAAAATGAGAGCTTCCAAACAGATGGTCAAACTGCAATGGGAAGGCCGGGGAGGGTTGGGGGGCAGAAGGTAGGGGGGGAAGAGATCAACCAAAGGACTTGTATGCCTGCATATAACCATAACCAATGGACATAAGACACTGGGGGATAGGGGAGGCTAGGAGACTGTCTAGGGCGGGGGGAAAAAATGGACACATATGTAATACCCTTTGTAATACTTTAAGCAATAATAAAAAAAAATGTCCTTAAACAGCAAAAAATAAATAAATAAATAAATAAAATAAAAAATGAGAGCTTCATCTTCCATTTTGGTGAGTCAATAAAAAGAAAATTCCTGAAATGAGGAAAAGCCAACAAGAAGCAACATACATATTATTTAGAGACATGAAAGCGTATAATAAAGGTCTCAAAAGGTATGCTAAGCATTTGTCTCTGGAGAGAAGATAATTTTTTTTCCCCTAATAAGTATGTCTTATAAAACGGCATGACTTTTTACTGGCTTGTATAAACTTCGATAATTTTAAATAAAGCTTAAAATTTAAAAAATTACTCTGAATTACCAAGATTTTTTTTTAAGCCCTGAAATCAAATTGGGAAATTGGGAAATCAAATTGGGGGGAAAAAAATTTGTAGAGCACTTATGTGCAAGCCACTATCCTATCTAGATCCTAGAAAAATACAAAAATGAATGAGAAACAGTTTTCTCAGCATTCAGTGAAAGAAGACACATTCAGTGGACGAATGTGCAATGAATGGTGTTAATAGGAGCCCACAGACCCAAGGTCCTAACCCCAACAGAGCAACGCATCCCTTCAGAAAGTCCCCACATTCTATGCGGGTAAACCGAAGCTCAGGTGTTAATTCTAGTCTGGCCTTATTACCCATTTTACTGACTTTTGGAGATCCCAACTAACCTAGCTTCAGAGCAGGGCCAAATATTCAATAGAAAGTGGGTGGCGCTGCTAACTTTACTTTTCAGCAAACTGCAACTTTTGCATTTGAGGCCCTGAGGTTACTTTTCACAAAGGACCCTTTTTTTTTTAAAGTTCTAATAAATAAATGATATCACTCTTCTTTGGTAATTACAGTAAATTATTTACCTTTGGCAGGCTTAGAAACATGCACTGGTGACATTAATTATTGAAACAATGAATATATCACACAAAAAGGTATCAGCACCATCATGCAATATTTATCGAAGCCGGAGTACGCCAGCACAATGGGATTCCACACCCCTTCGAGTTATTCCCAACTCCTTCCCCTCCCAACCCTTAGCCGCTCACTGAAACTCCATCTTAACACAGATGAACAGGTGTATAATGAACAAATATACTTGTTTACAACAATCAGCTCCATGTCCCAGTGTTGGTCCCAGCTATTTTTTTCATAGCGGTCTGCTCAGGTTTATGGGAAGACCTAACAATTTTAATAACCTCAATACAGACACACAAAATGCTCAGAGTCACCCATCTGAGTTTGAGGCTACGTGATCCAGGCCAAGTTATGACCCCTATATAAAAAACAGAAATTCAACGGAGCCTATGGTCTTTACAGAAAGAGAATGGATTGGTAGCTTCATTTCCAAGTGACCCATCTCTGAATTGTTTCTACAGATTAGCCTTTACTTATAGCTGAAATGTGAAATTTGAACTGTTTACTTTCACAAACATTATGAATTTCAAAATGTTGTGCATGGCACCATGGTACCAACAGAGAGCTCTCCCCTACTTGGTTACGGATCAAATAGACATTTAAAATGATAAATAGGACATCACATGTGATGATGGTTAAAAGGGATGAAATAGAGTTGGCTCCTGAGTTTCCCACAGCAAGTAGGGGTGTTCCCAGGGTTTAATGGAAAACATTGGCTTTGAAGTTTAGTCACAGACTTGGATCTGAAAATCGCCTTTGCCACTTGCTAATGGAGAACACTTCTTTCCCACTCCCAAGTTTTCCATCTTAGAATGGCAACCCCATTGTGTAACTTGGGCCTCTCCCTATCCCTTTATATTCCTTTTGACCCTTAAAATGTGGAGTGATTTATCTGAGTGGTAAATTTGGGAAAGGTAGCTGGGAAGGCTCTGCTCAGATCCAATTTTCACCCTCTTGCGCCTGAGCTTGGTCACAGAGCACACACGTCCTCCTCTGCTCCCTAAATCCATCTCTGTGATGGGTGTGCCTGGGCTGGTGATGCTGGCCTCTGGGCAGGGCGTCTGCCAATTTCACAGGCTCAGTTAGCAGACCCACTTGGCTCAGACACTAAGCCAGCCCTCAAGCTGGCCTTCATCAGGAATAAATAAAATATTTTGCCTCAGACCTTTCCTTATCTTTATTATTGAAAGCCCCTTTGGAGATGCCCAACATTACTTGCA